TTTTTTTTTTAAGAAACCACTATAGAAATAATGGTTAAGAAAAACAACTCTAAAAATATGGAACTTGAATAGCTGGGTCGAAGGTTGGAAAACAAATAGCTTCGCATTGGTTTAAGAAATTTCACTGGAATTTTTGTTTATAGGCTAGGGACCAGCATTAGGTAAGTTCTCTAGCCCTTTTCAGCACTTCTGTTTCCATGAATACAGTTATTAGGTTCCAATACACTGTGATATTCTACCAAATTAATGGACTGGAGAGCTAAAGATAGAGGTACAACTTACCATCCACTCCGTTCCCCCAGTAAATACCCCTGCCTCATTCTTCAATGTGAGTTAATCAAGAGGCCCAAGAATGAAAGGTACAGTGGGAAAACTGGAATCTAGCCCAGCACTGCAGTAACATCTACTTTGATTTCTCAGTAGAAATAAAAGAAATAAAAAAGTCAAACCACAGTAAAGGGCTATTAAGGGAAAAAACATTTGTCACCATGGACAGAATAAAAATCCCACAAAATGAAATAAATGCCTGTGGGAAAAGACGTGTCATGCTAAAAAGTAGTGTTCCTTCTTACTTGTTCTTTATTTAGTTTTCTTCCATCTAATCCACCATGCCTTACCCCATACGCTGTTTCTTTTTCCAGCTATGGAAGACCCATGGACTGAATTTAGCCTTTGCTTAGGTCTTTGCCAGAAAGTATCTTCAAAATAAAAGTGTTTCACTTGGCACTATCTCAATGAAAAAATGTTCTTCTAAGATGAAATGCTTGCTCTCCTAATAAACTTTTTCCTTGAATAAACAACAATAGTACCTTTTCAAACTGCTAACATATAAATTCATATATATGTATATCTAGACGCATATTTATGGACATGTGTGTATACACACATGACACATACACACACACATACACACAAAAAAAACTCCAAACAAACCCTAGTCTATTTTTTATAAAACATAGAATAAATATCCTCTGAGATGTTATAATTTTTAAAATGTCATTATGATAATATTAGTTGATATTGACAAATGCAATTTTGAGTTTCAAAATATAACTTAACTCACAAAGTCTTAACTAATTTAAAGTACCTAACAAAATCCAATGTATGTAGACAGTATAAATCAACTTAATCTATTCAGGTAGAATTTATGAAACAGAAATGAAATTTGTTCTAAGCCAGTGTGGAGAATATTTTATTTCTACTATCCTTGTAACACCCCAAAGAGTATACAATAACATGTACAAGAAGTAGCATATTGGGACCAGCAGTTGGCATAATGGCTACATTGCTGGACTCCCATGTAGTCAACCGCGGTTGTAGTCAACTGGACCCAGTGGCTTAAAACTCATGCCAGGTGCATGTGCGTGCGTACCCAAGATCCTGAGAGGAGAATGGAGGAGAAGGGATTGCAGCGTGGCCATTCCCCCTGGGCGGTGGTTTCTCGCTTTCTGTCTCTCTGTCTCTGTCTGGTGAGCGCACGTGCCGTATAGTGAAAACCTCTCCAAAAAAAAAAAAAAAAGAAGTAGCATATCAAATTTGTTACCACTTATAGCTATTTCCCAATGAAATCAAAGGATTACAATCTCTGCATAATCTATTGTACTTCCAGAGTTCTTATTGAAATAGAGAATGACTATTATCCTCTAAAATTAATACTATCACAGTAAGAAAAATGGAAAAATTAATACAAACCGTAAATCTGCCAGTAGTTCAGAAGATGAATGTCTTCTTTGGGGACTTGGTTGAAACAGCGTGTTCATACAAGTCTTTTAAATGGAAGCTGTACACAAAGGAAGTCCCATGGAAGACAGTGTGGCTCTAGCATGTCAGAAGCTTCTGGAAGGAAACAACAGTACACCATTAGGAAATCTCCAAAGAACCATTATTGCAGTGCCTGCCACTGTGATCAAAATGTACTATATTAGCACCTGAAGATATTAGCACCGTGTTATTCAAGTCTATTAATTTTGGTGTTTATTTTAAATTCTCTTCATTCGTGATAGAGCATGCACACACACACACACCCCTAAGAGAGAGAGGAGAGCCCTTCCACAGAGGCTAGTCATCCCATGATTCCCTTCTTTCAGTCCCTCAGCCCATCAGATCCTTGGCACTCACACATACATACAGGGTATTTCAGGCTGATCAGGCCTGGAATTCAAACTGTGCTCACCATGCAGGCTCTGTTTCCTCTTTGTATCATCATTGTGACATAGAGCTGGTCCACTATTAATTTCATACCCCAAGTAATTTTATTTATAAATGTCAGGTTAGGATATTATCCTTTTAGCATCGTATTTTGAAATTTCTAAAACTCAGGGCTATTTGATAATTAGGCAGACTTCTACATTTCCCCTTATCTGACCAAGCCAGTATTGAAGGACTGTGGACGGTTGAGCACAAAGGCAGCAGCACTATGTAGTGAGCACCTACGTGGTACAAGACACTGTAAGTTTATATGATCTGTTTTATTGGAACAATGGTCCTACAAGTAGAGAGTAATGGCTCCATTTTGAAGAAAATTAGTGCAGATTGCTGAGTTTAGGCTTAGAACCTGTGTCCATTAAAGCCCAATGACTACATGGTTAGCTCTGTATTTCATTCTGTGGCCCATGTGATTTAGAAAAACATTTCTCAAGTGGATTGCCAGATAACATTGCAATTTACTAAGGTAACCCAAAGATTGCTAAATGAATTATGAAACTATATTTCTTAATTTGTTTCATTTTTTATATCAAATATTATCTTATTCAGGCAGGTTCACTGAAATACAGATACCCTGGCCCAGGTGCAGTGGTACCACAATACTGTAATTCTGGAAGTCATATGGAAGATCTAGGCTCAGTTCCTGGTTTGACCTGTGTATGCACTTTTGATTCTGGATGGCTGGGAAAGGATGGAGGTTAGGGGAATCATGGCATGAGACCCTACTTGGGGTACTGGTCTTTCTCTCTCTAAAACAAATACATGAATAAACTTGGAAAAAAAGAATTACAGACATCAAGCTTTAAGCAATGTCCATGTTTTCCCACCTTTCTTCCTTATGTAGACAGAGAGAACACATTAGTGGAATAACTCCATTACATTATGGTGCAGGTTTGTGTGCTCTGCTACATCATGGGTGGCAATCACGCTTGTCAACTTCCTCTGGCCTCTTCATGTGACCCACAATTTCTTTGTTGTCTCAGTGAAAGAGAACACTTAGTTTTCCTGATGCAGTTAGGAACTGAGCCCATTTCCTCTGTGACTGTCACTGTGGGTTAATACTGTATCTCCTTGTGATTACACCCATCATAATAGCTGAGGGAGAGTGAGCAAGGCTTGGCATAGCTCTACCTGGATTTCTGTTCTCATGTTTAGCTAATTATCTACATGATTCTGATGGTTCTGGTACCAACACAGCTTATTCTCCACCAGCTGCCCAAGTGTATGTGATTACAGTACTTCAGGGTCAGTGCCCACCAACTGAACACTTCAAAATTTCTCTCATGGTACTGGCTTTTAAGGTTAAAGTCTTGTCTGAGTCTTGAAACTTTTAGTTGACATCTACACTGCATTTGTAAAGTACCTCAGAAAGGCTAGAAAATGATGGAGATAGAAAGGTCATGCATAATTTTTAAAATTTTTTGTTTATTATATTTTTGGCAAGAGAAGCTTAAGTCATGAATAAAGAAAACAGCTGGTCAGACCAGGAGGGGGTGTAGTGGTTAACTCGCTGGATTCTACATGCCTATCTTCATGGTTCAAGTCTTACACCTGGTAGCTTGAAAAATATGCCAGGTGCATGTTCGTGCATACCCAAAATCCCAAGAAAAGAATGGAGGAGAAGGGATTGTGGCATGGCCATCCCCTTCCTGGGGTGATTCTCACTTTTCCTCTCTCAGTCTCTTTCCAGTGAGCACATGTGCACTATGGCAAAAATCTAAAACAAACGACAAGACAGAGCTGGTATATCTTTGTACTAAAGAAGGAAAAAGGGCTTGACAATGGATGAGGGGAAAGTGACTGGACTGTAGAGTCTAACCTAAGAGATAGGAACAGAAAATAACAAAAAATAAACATTAAAAAAATACATACTAGTATTCTTTTTTTCTTCATGCCAATCATCAAAACAAAGTTTCAGACTCTATATCTAAACTGTCAAGCCTGTTTGCCCTAAAATTCCAATGGGAATTTTTTTTTTGAGAGAGATTTTTGCTGAAAGGTGCACATGTTCGCTGGAGAGACAAAGACAGTGACAAAAGCAAGAAATCACCCCACAGGGGATAGCCCCACCACAATCTTTTCTTCTCCATTCTCCTCTCAGGATTTTGGGTACACATGCACACGCACTTGGCATGAGTTTCACGTAATAGGGTCTAGGATTTAAATGGTCGGCCACGTGGGAGTTCAGTGCCTTAACCACTGCACCACCTACTGCCCACCCCCATGTCAATTTTCAAGTATTCACCAGCCACTATTCATTAAATATTTATAAGTTCATTGGAAAATTCAAGAAACACTAAAATAAGCAAGATAGGTTTTTTTTTTTTTCCTAAGCATCTCACTGTGCTGCAGAGGAATATAACTAGAATGTAAAAAATAATTTAAAATGGTGCCAGTTGTGTGTGAAAAAAAGGAGTTGGGGAGGGGGTGGAACTAGACTGCCTGGGGACATTCCTATTTCATCACTCACCAGCTGTATGACCTTGTACTCAAACCCTCTAACCTCAGCTGCACCATAACTTTCCTTGAATTTTTTTTGATAATTAAGAATATCTATATAATGTGTTTGGTATACTGAGAAGCACTTGGTAAGAACTTATCACATGCTAGGAAGAAATAGTAGCACCGTTGTGTAAAAGATCATGGGTGACGACCAGCAGGTGGCATAGTAGTTGAGGTGCTGGACTTCCACATGGCTGACTACAATTTTGAGTCTCAGAATTGGAGGCTTGAAACATGCTGGGTGCGTGTGCATGCATGTCCAAAATCCTGAGAGGAGAATAGGGCAGAAGGGATTGTGGCATGCCTTTTCCCCTGGGGAGTGATATTTTGCTTTCTCCCTTTGTCTCTTTAGCAAGCACATATGCCCATAACAAAAATCTCTCTCTCAAAGGAAAAAATATTATGGGTGATGTTAATAAGGGAAAAAGTGCTCCAAAGCTGCAGAGGAGTTTGATCTTCTCTGTTGGAGATGAGTAGAATCAAACCTTGGGTGAGGAAAGTAGTATTTAAGATCAACTAAAACCAAACATATAATTAGTTTCTACAGAAATCTTTCAATGATCATTGAAAATCTTGACAATGAGGTAATTTGGGGGAGAGGGGAGGTCCACAAATTAGACACAATCTTCCAGGATTTGGTGTGAAAGCAAATATCTACCATAATAACACCACCAGGGAATGATACAAAGAAAAAGAAATCTATGTTTTGCTGCTAAGAGAGGTACAATATCCCACAGGATCCTGCTCTATTCAATTGTAATCCAAAATGACACCATGGCTTTGAATGGAACTTGGCAAGCTCTAGACATACCATTTTTAAACTCAGTCTCAAATTTAAATCACAGGGCTTGTGACTCAAATCTCCAATGTGACCTTTACTGGGTATTGTTCAAGAAAACATGTCTGTCACTGTGGAGAGAAACCATACACCCTTTCACTTTGGAAAGTATAATGAAAAGATGTACTGTATTGTTAGAAGCACAGAGCCACAAAATGATTGTGACTGTGAGGCTCCAAAAGCAATGAAAACAAAATTCTATTTGACTTTGTATCATTCATTTAGAAATGTTGTCTTATCACATTAATGAACATTCCTATTTCACCCATATTCTAGACTTTATTTAATCAGAAGCAGCTTAGCAGGCATCTTATCATTGAGGGATTTAAAATATAGTCTCTCTGAATGCATCTCTATTTCAAGGGCTCCTTGAGCCAGACTATTTTGTCCTTGCCAGACCCATACAATGCAGAACTGAACAGAAGAGCTAAAAGCACACAGTGGTTTGAATTCTCTCACACACTCCCCGCTCCCATCCCTGGAACTTCTACATAAGGACAGTACTCTGGTTTGAATGCCCCAAATTGCAGATGTTGCCAATGTGACAGTAATAAGGGGTAGAGCCTTTAAGAGGTGATTAGGCCACAGGGGCTCCTCCCTTGTGAGTGGGGTTAAGACCCTTATAAAAATGGGCTTTCTACAGACTTCAGGTAACTTGCCCTTCTGCCTCCTGCTATGTGAGGACAATGATCCTCTCCTCTGGAGATGGAACCATCTTGGAAGCACAATACAGACTGTCAGTGGCTTGATCTTGAACTTCCCTGCCTCCAGAACTATGAGATGAAAAGGGTTATTCTTTATAAATTACCCAGTCTATTTTACTACAGAAGCACAAAAGAACTAAGAGAGTAAACTTACAAAAGAGATGATGTCACTGTTCCCTTTTCACCCTTTTTGCCTTTCACTGAATTATGAAATCCTATTGATTCTTCTTTTCACTCATTCCAACTCATGATACCACATTTTATATTACATATAAACTTCTAGATGGTTTTCCTTCTTGTAGTTCATTCTGGAAAAAAAAAAAGGTCAAAATGTCTGTCATCTTCTCAGAGTAATATGTAATGCTGACAAATATTTGAAATAAAAACTATTCAAGATCCAACAATGGTTTCTATTTTCTCAAGGATCAGATCTAGTTCCTCACTAAAAATATCTGCCCCTACAGTCCTCTTTAATCTCAAAACAGAATGTTTCTGATCTAAACTCATGAATCAACTAGAAATACTCTGCTCATTAAAGGAAATCTAAAAGAGGGGTGCATGATAATCACCCACATCCACTGAATTATCTCCAGAGAAGGCTCACCATGTGCACTTTTTAAAATGCTCCACAGGTGATTCGGGTACATAATTTGCTAAGAACATCTGTTTCTGGGCCCCACTGCAGTGGCACAGGCTGCTAAGACACTGTACTCCATAGGCTGGGACCACATGGGAGGCCAGGATTTGACTCTTGATCTAGCATAAAGGCCAGGGATAGCTGTGCATGCCTGTAATCCCAGCAATTAGGAAAAGTTGGTGCAGGAGGATTATGAGTTTGAGGCTGACCCGGGCAACATTAAAACAACAACAACAACAAAAAAAACCCAGCCAGGTGTGCTACAGCACCTGTCGTCCCAGCTGGGAGGATGAGGCAGGAGGATTATGACAGTGAGACCCTGTATTAAAAAAATAATAATAATAAATAAAAGGAAATAAACTGAACTACAAAAAAAAGAGAACTGCTATGTCTCTTTTTCCTCTTGGTATATCTAGTCAACCTTGCATGACATACCAGAAGCCTCATCTCCTTAATTGAATCTTCCTATATCTCAATGACATTTCTCTCATTCTCTAGTTTCTCACCATAGAGTTAAATTGGAGGTACATAACATAATGTAATATTCTTTATTGAAAGTGACGAATATAGAAATATTCTTGATTTGATTATCACACACTGCATATAAGCTTTGAAAAACCATATTTTATCCCCCAAAAGAGGTACAATTAAATGTAAATAAGAAATTATTTTTAAAAAAGGAAAAAAAATGTAAACTAGAAGAGAACCTCTAGTGATTCTCACAGGGTCTAGAACACACAGCCACCAGATTCTGTTTGAACTGTGCAGTTATGAAAATACTTCAATTAGGGCCAGCAGGTGGTGTGGTGGCTAAGGCAATGGATCCCACGTGGCTGACTGTATAATTCAAGTCTCAGGCCCCGGCAGCTTGAAAAACACAATGGACGTGTATGTATGTGTGTGTGTGTGTGTGTGTGTGTGTGTGTGTGCATGTGTCCAAATCCCTAGGAGGGAATGGAGGAGAATGGATTGTGGCATGGCCATCCTCCTAGGGGATGATTTCCTACTTTCCTTCTCTCTCTGTCTCTCTCCAGTGAGTGTACATGTCCTGTGGCAAAAATCTGAAAAAACAAAAACAAAAAACCTTGAATCATTTGAAAGCATTTTAAAATGGGAAGCAATGGAAAAATCTGAAACCAAATTCTCTCATGGTAATAATTGACCAGAGCTGAGATGCTGGCATGTAAGTTTAGGACGGACTTGTTCTCTTTGACTACTAATTCCCCTCCTCATCACTCCCAACTTCTTTTTAAGCAAGACATGGCCTAACCCCTGTACACATTCACAATATATTATAGAGTCTGACCATTATGGAAACCAGCAGCAAAATTTTAAAGCTAAATGATCTCTTATTACTCTCTTACTTTACAGACAGGGCTAGAATTATTGTTTGAGTTTCCAAAGTTAGAAACAGGGCTTCTGACTCATAAGTGAGCTTTGATTATCTTCTCTCTTACCTTTTTCTTCTAAATGTTTAATGCTGCAGCAAAATTAAGTACAACTGGACCAGTAAGAAGCCTGACCTCTACTTTGTCTTTACTTTGTAGATCCCAGTAAAAATGGTATCTAGTTCCCACTACCTATCCTTAAATATACGATACATACACCCTTGCTCTTTTTCACTTCTTTCCTTTATTGAATACCAACCCATCATCGAATTATATAGAAACCAACAGAACTTTGAGCTATCTTTACCCTCAGGGGTAAGGAATTATAGTTTTTCAACTAGCCATTCCCTTTCTGAACCTCAAATACTTAAACATGTTGCTCTTTGTGTTTGAAAAGACTTTTCTCTTTTTTGCTATTTACCTGACAACCTAAAACAATGTCGTCCAAAGTACTTAAGTTGTATATTACTTGTCTCCATGATTCTAGATTAGTATTCACACATTGTATACCTTCCCTTTCCTCCCTATAACTGAACTCATACCTAATGACTCGTAATCAATTAATTATGAAAAAAAGTGATAGGAAGTGACACCCATCTTGTTCTCTTGCACTGTTGACCATCAGCTACCATATTGTGAACTGCCCTATGGAGAAGCCCACTTGAAAAGGAATTAGGAAGTTCCCAGGCTAACATCCAGCAAGGGACTGAGGCCCTTAGTGTATCAGTGGGAAATCGAACCCTGCTAACAACCAATGAGCAAACACAGAAATACATTCTGTCCCAGTTGAGCAGAGTGACTGCCAACCCTGTTCTAGTTAGCAAGACTGTGGACCTAGACAATGCTCTAACTGAAACTTTATAGGAGACCTGGGGTTTGTGGGCCCAAATAAACCATGCCCAGATCCCTATCTGGGATGGTTAATTTTATGTCAACTTAGCTAGGCCACAGAACTTGGGTATCTGGTCAAACACAAGTCTGCAGGTTGCTATGAAGGCACTTCTTCCTTCATTTCTTCTTTTTTATTCTTTTAGATAAAATTAACATTTAAGTGGCTGGCAGGTGGCGTGATGGTTAAGGTGCTGGACTCCCACATGACCAACGGTGGTTTGAGTCCTGGACCTGGCAACTTGCTTTCTCATTTTCTCTCCCTTTCTTTGTCTCTCTCTGGTCAAATTAAAAGATGGTGATGATAAATAAAGTTAAATAATTCTAAACAATTAACATTTAAATCAGTATACATTAAATAAAGTACTACTTCTCCTAATGTCAGTGGGCTAGTTCTTAAGAGAAAACAGACTGATGTCCCCCAAGAAAGAGGGATTCCTACCTTCATACTACCTTCAGACTTGAGTTGCAGTATCAGCTCTTCTCAGAATTTCAAGCCTGCTGGCTTTCTCTGCAGATTTTAGACTGCTAGTCTCAATAATCACATGAGTTAATTTCTTAATATAAGTCTTTGTTACACTCTTGATCTTCTCTCTCCCCCCCCCCTCACACACACACACACACACACACACACACACTTACTATCTTAGTCAGGGTTCTCCAGCAAGACAGAATCAACAGGATACATACATATAAAGAAAGATTTATGAGAGAGGGTTATTAGGGGAATTGGCCCAGTCAATTATGGAGGATGAGAATTCCCATCCATAGGCTGTCTGCGAGCTGGAGAACCAGGGAAGCTGACAGCGTAGCTTAGTTCAAATCTGAAGGCCTGAAAAACAAGAAAGAGCTGATAGTATAACTCTGAATCCAAGGTCGAAGACACGAAAGCCCAGGAAGATGTTGGGGCAAGACCCAGAACCAAAGGTCAGAGAATCTAAACTTCTGACAGCCATGGAAAGAAGAAAAAGGGAGCTCCTTCCTCAGGAGCAAGAGTTAAGAATTTCACCTTCCTCACCTTCTTGTTTTGTCCAGGTGCCAGCTAATTAGATGGTGATTGCCAATAATGAGGGGAGATTTTCCCCACTTAGTTCATTGATTCAAACACCTGGAAACACCTTAGAGACACGAGGGGCAACACAATCATTCTAATCCAATACCAAACCATCTGGGTTTTCCTGCGAGCAAGACAAGGATGGGGTCCATGCCTAGTGTAGCACTGAGAATAAATACTGATTTACCAACTGAGTATGGCTTAATTCACTCATTCCATACCCCAAATCAACAATCACAATAATCATAATTGACTAATACACTGACCTATAGATGCTGTGCAACTAACATAAGACACCATCATTCATCACACTGAATTATAATTGCTGTATACATTCCTCTTTAATATGATAAGCTTTGAGTTCTGGCAAGGCAATAAGCCATATAAACCTACATTTCCTAATACTGCACCTGGCATATGACAGGTGCTCAATACATATTTGCTAAATAAAAAAAAAAGAAAATAATAAAGTGTCAGCAATAACATCTTCATAAAATAATGGAATAATTACTCAACTAACTTCTTGTCTACAGTTATAATTAACTTAAAAAAACATACAGATAAACATGAAAATGATAGATTGGCACAAGTATTCTTCCACAATTGTGATCCAAGTAGAGCTAAGACAAATAATGACAGATTTGGAGACTGAAGTGGTGATTTTATGGAGCTGGAGCATAAGACTAGAGTATAAATTCCAGAATAACAAATCTGAAATTTTGTAGATTAGCTTAGAGCTATTAGAAGTAATTTTATATTACATGGATTTTGATTAGCAATTTTTTTTGAGGATGAATGTGGTACTAATGTTTAGCATAAGAAAAACAAGTGAGGGGCTATTGCTAAGAGAGTGAATTACATAGTAGTGATAATAAAAATGGTTTGGTAAAATAAAAATGCTGAGAACAAAGAAAATTCCATCAATTAGATGAAACTAATAATGAAAGAAAAAAAAATAGCCAAAGTTTATAAGGATATGTAGGGCCTGAGTCTGGGGAATATTGAGAATGCTGATAGAATGTAGATGTGAGTTGGTATGTGCAAAAGACTGCGAAGTGATAGTGACTTTGCTTTAAGATATGCCGAGTTTGAGAAATGTTACATTTCTTCCTATGTTTATTAATAATGAAAACTCAAGATTTGATCAGCTATTTCCCCAAAGATCAATACAGAATATCTAAGGCTACATCTTTGCTATTTTTCAACTACTGTTTCTTTTCTTTCTTTCTTTCTTCTTTTTTTTTTTTTAAGAGACTTTTGTTTGTTTGTTTTTTCTATATGGTGTGTGCGCTCACCAGAGACAGAAAGCAAGAAATCACTGCCGAGCAGGGTTGACTATGC